TCGTATCTTAATATCTTTGCCAGAATTTGCATCCTGACACAAAGTGGTGAATAGTTTCTTCATATCGGAAACATTTATTTTACATTGTTTCTTTTTTAATACCTCCAGACTTAATCCATAGGTAGGACTTCCTTATTCACCTGGTTCTTGTCTAAGCTACTTGGAGGTTGTCCATGCACTCACGTTCTGAGCTGTTATGTTTCTTAATTGTCTTCTTTCACTTTAACAAGATTGAAGTCGATGATTGCAGTCTTGTGGGTTGTTGCGCCGTGTAGTCTGATAGATGTCCACCAACGTTTCAGAGATCATGTTGACTCCGTCACCAGGGCACTTTCCGCTCGATTGGCACATTCATCGCCCTGATGACGGAGGCAGTATGACCTCTGAAACGTTGGTGGATATCTACCAGGCTACACGGCGCAACAACCCACAAGACTACAATCTTCAGACTCACCACTGTGAAAACCTCAAATCTTACAAGATTGAAGTTGTTAACTGTTTGAAGCGGTGTAGAGTATATGTTATGTTCGCAGAATGTTTTCAGATTGTAGATTATAATTTTTGTCGCAGGTACCGTGAAAACGCCCAGCGTCTGTCCAGAATCTACCGGGATCAGCCACTCACTCCACTGGATCAGGCCGTGTTCTGGACGGAGTACGTGATCAGGCACAAGGGAGCGCCTCACATGCGTTCAGCTGCACTCGACCTCACCTGGTACCAGTACTTCCTGCTAGATGTCATCGCTGTTTTAACATTGGCTGCAGGATCATCTGTAATTGGAGTGTTCCTGATTCTGAGGTCAATTGTGAGAAAGATTTTTAGTGGTAGGCGCCAGGACACGGAAGACTTGTTAAGACGGAAGAAGAGGACTTAAGTTTAACTTTAGATCCTGTATGCCAGTATGCATTCTCCATTTGCTGACACTCCTTTTAAGGATTTTGGTTCAATTTCTCTTCAGCAATGAATAAAATTGTCACGGTAATTGTGCAATTATATTTGATAATTTTAGTTCTTTAAGAATTTGAACATAAACTCTTCATTACTTTTAAGTGATTCCGCTTCATACTTCAGAACACTTAACATATGTAAATTCGTACTTCTGTGTACACTTTTCAGACTTACTGTTCTTTCCGTATGCTGAGTGCCCGTCTGTACTCACTTGCCCATGGGGTGCATTAAGTCCAGAATTGTAAAAGCTATAATTGTTAATGACCCGAAATATTTTGATAGAGGGAAAAACTGGGAACGGTTAGTCTAATTCCCGTAGGTCATAAATTCGCCTGACAACGTTACGTAAATTTAGCTCTATCGTCGTGTAATCCTATTCCTCAGTTTGAGTGTCCCAAAACGACTTACATGCATTGAAGTGTGAAATATTAACTTCGTTATCGACTTCCGTGTGTTTTGTTTACGAGGAGAACCTAACGTGGTCTATCTTATCGCCATATTCTTTCCCACGATTCAGATACGGAAAATTGAGTTTCGAGGAACGCGAATTAATTTTGAAGTGGCCCTCGAAATTCGAGAATGTGCTTGAAGTGAAAGTGATTTGGAAACCACGCCTCCAAC